TAACTGACCTCTTGAACAATTAAAAATCGTTTGCTAAAAGTATCTACTTTATATCACGTGATATCAGACTTTGTACTCATTTCACTGTTTCGTCGAAGCACAAGAGTAAACGTAACGACACAGGTAATGCATAGAGAAGAGAGCGAGCCGATTTCTCTTAGAAACGTTTCTTAATCAAACCGCGAGTTCGCCTTCGATCTCGAACGATCACCCCTCTTTCGGTTTCGATCGTTAACGAGCGTCTTGAGTTTTATTCCCTAAATAACATCCGTTCGGTCGATACGTCGGGGAAAGTTCGTCTGGCCGCAAAAGACGAAATATTTATGCAACACCCGGCGAGGGAAGAGCCGTCGTCGTCGGATGCACGCTGCCTTTTATGCGTCAAACAATGTCGTCCAGTTCAACGACACATGGCGTGTGACTGTTTTCTGGTGGCGTCAGACAGACACGGTTCGCGGACCTTTTACTAAAACGGAATATTTTTCTTCACCTCGTTTCGTCTTGGCACCGGCGGCACCGGCTCATTAGCAAGCGTCGCGGGACGCTAACGTCTTGCGTAAAACGGAAGGCGGCTAATTGTTGCAACGGGTTGCGCTTCAAGCTTGATCGATTGATCGATGGCTCTTTTATGCCTACAGACCGGTTTCTCGAGACTTTATGTTAATCCTCGGATAAGTGGCATCCTATATTTCCCGTTTGTTTCCTGAGATAACTAGTAACGTTAGCTTTATCACGTCCTTACAGGTTTTTTGTAGGAATAAAAATAAAAATCGACTATGTCAGTTCTTGCATTTTCACATTTTTCACATTTTCAATATCTTCTACTTCAACAGCGTATTTCTTTTTTCCTTCCTTGCGACCAGTGTCGCTGCACCAATGGAGGAACATTTTTTTGGCGCATTTCATTATTTTTGTACGAGAAAATTATTTTATACAGTTCATTCACAGGTAAATACATCCCTAAAATTTAGAAACATTCGATGGAATACTCTTTTTAAAAAAAATTCTCAAAAATGACCTAAACATTGAGCAGTCACACTGGTAAGGCCACTTAAAGAAATAAACGCCAAGTTTTCATAGTTTTCTGCACGGTTAGATGAAAGTTTGCGACGTCGCGAAATCATGTATAAGAATGTGCTCTGATTGGTTACGTTCTAAGAAAGTGGTCTCCCGTTTATCGTATTTTGTCGGGCAGAGCATCTATCAGTGTCCGGTGATGAGAGCTGCTTAAACCTATCCTGTACGTACGTACGTACGTATTCACGTTCACGTGATCGGCGACGCATATCTCTGACTCGTACGTATGTAACTACGTACGGTAGTACAAAACTGTATGTTATATCGTCTATCATTCACCCCGTATCCTGTATCCTGTGTCGGGATATCGGATTATCACGTGGTAAGCGTTTTTCTGCGGCTCTGCCTTGCGTCGCCGCCTCCCAAGTCCTTTTACAACCGTTTTCTCATCACCGTCGTTGAGAACTCCCCGGTTTTCTGTGGTCTCGACCCGTCTAGCTCTTCCATAGTAAATACGTGAACAATTATTTATTCAACGTTTATTTCATTTCTTTAAAAAGGAAAATAGCAAATTTCTTATAATAGCTTTGCAAGATTTCAAAAGTTTTGCACAGTGTTTTATTAAGTATTAAAACCTGAATACTTCGTCATTGTCCTCATTTAAGGGCTCGTGCAATGTTAAATCCATGTGAAAGACGGATGTAAAGGACACCTCCGAGATGAAAGTAGCTGTAAAAGAAGGGTCGATTTTTATGAATCGTTTAAAATGAAACGCGGTTTCGATCGTCAAGGTCGCTCGGGGAAAGGTCGAATGTCTTTTAAGAAAAGTATTCGATTTCTTGGTTGACCGCATATGTCTCGTATACCTTTCATATGTCCTTTCACGCGACAAGTTTCTCAACGAGGAGGAGGCTGCTGCTTCCGGAAAGGCCTCGAGGAACGAGAAAGGACCCATCGATCGTGTGTCAAAAAATTTCAACACCAAAGCACTGCCTCGATTATTGGAGCTTAGTCTATCGTTACAAATGATATCAACGTTTTCAAACCTATTAAATTATTCATCGATGCATACAGTTTTATTGATCCGGCTCGGAGAACGAATAAAGGTTCATTTATAGTACCGACGAGCCGTGAACATCGATTTATCACGTTCATCATTCCACCCTTTCCGATTTCTTTACTCCCAACAATAGATCTTTCATCTTACTTTTCCGTTTCCTACTTGGAAATACTGAAGGTCTGTTCTCGTTTCCACGCCATTTCTGAGCCACGACGGAGCCGTAATCACGAAAACACGGCTGGCACCCCGTATTAGGTCGGTACTAGACGTTCTGGTACCTTTGTTCCAGCGCGTAATCGATGCCGACGTTGCTCTAGGTTCGCCGAATCCCTGTTTCCTGGTGGATACGTCTACCTATCGTTATGCAATCGCGTGTAACAATGTGTCGGCCGTGCCGCCTACGCGTCGACATTTAGTAAGCGCGTTTAATCTCGGCGGACATGACGTAAAGTCCCTTTGTTCCCCGGCGAAGTTCACGATACCGTGCAAATGGGACGTCGAAATTCCTTTTATTGTTCGTTCTGCACGGTTAGTGCATACCTTAGGGCTCGAGACGTTAACGAGTATTCTTCAACCGTTTGATGACATCGTTAGCAAATAAACGAAGGGATCATGAAGATCATGATCACTGCGGCTGGTTGCAAAATTAACGCTTTATATTGTATATTTTGCATGCTTTTAAATAATATCCTCGAAATTGACAATATTTCAACTATGAAGTATTCTTAAGGATGTATTGGCTATACAGTCAATCCCAAAAGTTTATGTACCTTAGAAAAACGCATTTCCTATAATTAAAAAGAAATCAGACGTCGGAAGAACAATGCTAATAATAAATAGCTATGTGCTAAAAAGTATTGAAGGAAATATCCAATTAAGTATTGACGCTGACGAAAAATTTTTTTTTCAAAATTGCGAAAAATGCTTCAAATAAAAGTTGTTTTCCTTCTAACTTCGATATTTAACGAGTTACGTATGATTATTTGGCATTTTATTGATGTTGACAAAATCCGACCATCCGAGCGTCGAAACTGCGAACTTTTGGCAAAAAATTTCATTTTTCCTTAATTACTCCTAAACCGCTGAATCTACGGGAAAATTGTATACGACTTTTCTTGTAGAGGACGACGAGAT